AAATAAATAAATAAATAAATAAAACGACAACGGATTTAACCCCCCACCACCAAACGACCCTAACCAGCCCCACTAGTCGCCTGTCTCACAACCACCACCACGACCACCACCACTACAGGGCCGCAGAGAACGACACCGTCAGGAAATCTGCCTTATCTGCACCGGAAGTTTGACGTCTACTCCCTGACCGCTGTCTTATCCTCTCTCATGTGCCTGCCTGCCTGCCTGCCTGCCTGCCTGCCTGCCTGCCTGCCTGCCTGCCTGCCTGCCTGCCTGCCTGCCTGCCTGCCTGAGTGCGTGCGTGCGTGTCTGCCTGCCCGCCTTTAGAACACGAACTGGTAGATGACGTCAACGAGCAACCTTTGCAACTCCTAACAAGATGCAGTGATAGATGTAGATAGATAAGACCTAGAGAAACGGCAAGAGACATAGGGCGGGCGGGCGGCTGTATCACATTCCCATCACAATGGCGAGTGAGAGTGGGTGAGAGTGGACCGCCCGCCCACGTGAGAGTAAGAGTGAGAGTGAGAGTGGCCCTTCCCCCCTCCCCCCCTCCTTCCTTCCCGCAGTACCTTCTTCCCTCCCCTTCCCCTTCCCCCCTCCACTCCTTGCCTCTACACTTTAAGCTTCCTCTTCAGAAAATAAAAAATACAATAAAATAAGTATCTACATAAATATTCGAAGGACATTATAAGACGCTTTTATCACGAGGAATTCCGTGTCTTAATCAGATATTCTGTCCAAAAAATACTCTCGTTGATAAGAAAGCAACTTGAAGACACAAACAGCCCCAAACTAGCCAAGTATATAAAGTATAAACACCTCAATATCGTCGATAATCAAAGCCTTTTCCTACAAACAAATGCCTAGATTATGCAAAACAATCGATCAATAAAAAACACCAATACTTATCAACAACCAATCAGTTGCAGAGACAGGTGAAGTTGCAAACCTTGTCTCATGCACACCGAACAAAAATACCTTTACCTCGTTCAACCCTCTTGCCACTGTGGGTTTTTCCAGGCTTATCTGTCTAACCGTAAATATAACAAAACTGAATGTTCATGAAAGATCCTACAAACTTGTAGACTCGAGTGTTTAATTTCTTAATATACACATTACCTACATTGTATGTATATTTATTATATATATGTACATATATACACGTACTATTATACACACATTTATATATAAACTTGTACAATGTATTACATAAACTATGGATAAGGTGTACATTACATATTCATACAAGTGTGAATAAATACATATACAGTGTATATATATATTCCCTGGACATATGTTACAGCAATAGATCTTTATCCGTGTGTGTGTGTGTGTGTGTGTGTGTGTGTGTGTGTGTGTGTGTGTGTGTGTGTGTGTGTGTGTGTGTGTGTGTGTGTGTGTGTGTGGGTGGGTGTGTGTGTGTGAGAGAGAGAGAACATACACAGAAATTTAACTAGAAACTAATATAAATAACGTGTAAAAAAAATAAATAATAAAAAAAAGCTTATCTACATTCGACCAAGAAAACAACTCGACCAAACAAGGAAATGATGTAACAACTACATACGAAGGACTTTCCAACGCTTGCTATTTGAACGATCAAACTACCCCTTCCCCCCCTCTTCTACCCCCCTACCCCCCTCCACCTTTCGCAACTTCCTACCCTTTATAATCAAAATCCGAAACGACCTCTTTCAGCTGTTGGCCTGTTTACGACCCAATACGCGGCGCCAAGCTATTTTCGCCTTTACCGAAATCACGGAACACCTTGGCTTCAGCACAACACCAGCCTTGGAGAAACACCTGTTCTCCCCTGGTACACACGTGCTCGAAGGGGTCGGAACACATGGCCACTTGCTCTCAAACAACAAACTAGTATCGTTAAGAAGACGAAGACAAACTTTGTCATTACAATACGAGACTTTCATCCGTATATAAAAAAAACAAGCCTCTCGTGCATAGAAATTAAATAGGAAAAGATTTCTTACATGCATATAAAGCAACTTAGGTCAAAAGGTTATACTGAGATCCAACACATACTATTGTCAACCGAGAGAGCACAAGCTTATGCCCTAGCAACACTCCCCCCTCCCTCTCCTCCCTCCTCCTCTCTCCTCCTCCACCCGGATTGAGGAGCAAACAAACCGTCAGTCAGCATCTGCATTTAAAAAAAAAAAACACCCTCACGCTATATACGAAAGCACAGACTCAGCATAGCATCAGCATTATCCCCTGATGAGCCAATCTCACCCCGTGGCACAGCATCACCTCCCAACTCGCAAACACCACACAAGTCTCATCATCATCATCTGGGCATCTGGGCATCTTGGCATCTGGGCGAGCAGGAGATCCGTGTCTTCTCCCGGGCAGCATCCAAAGGAGGGCTTCTCTCGGATGCCACGAAACGAGAAAGTGATGGCGGTGGGCACCCGTGTCAGGAGGGAAGAAGGGGGGAGGAGGAAGAGCCTGGGCAAGGGAGTAAGGAGGGAGGGAGGGAGGGAGGGAGGGAGGGAGAGGATTGGGGAGGAGGAGGAACCTGAAGATTGGGAGGGAGGGAGAGGAAAAGGAGGGATAGAGAAAGAGAAAAGAAGAGAGGAAAAGAACGAAAGAGAAAAGATAGAGGAAAAGGAAGGACGCAGAGAGAGAGAGAGAGAGAGAGAGAGAGAGAGAGAGAGAGAGAGAGAGAGAGAGAGAGAGAGAGAGAGAGAGAGAGAGAGAGAGGTGAAGATAGGAGCGAAGAGGAGGAGGTGGGGTCTGGTTGCAACGTTTCTCTTTGGCGAGAGCGAGCGGCTGAGGTCCCCAAAAAAGTTGCTGTTGAATCCAACCACGTTTCCATTTATGCACTCTCCAGCTCCTCGCTCTTCGTCTCTCCTCCCTCTCTTCCGCTCTTTCTCTTTTCTCCGGGAGGCGGCACTTCAGGGGAATAAATGGACGGAAGTCATCATCATCCAAACTTGTCCTTCTGCACATTCCGTTCAGCATGAGATTGGCACCCTTGGCCTAAGGATAAAAAAGTGCGCACCACATCCTACGTCATCGTCACCACCCTACACACACACACACACACACACACACACACACACACACACACACACACACACACACACACACACACACACACACACACACATAAATACATACATACATACATACATACATACATACACACACACACACACACACACACATACATACATACACACAGACACACCCGAACTCGCTACCAAGGAAAACGACTTTGCGATGTGTTTCCACGTGTTTCGCAAATAGGAACTAACGTGTACAGACAGAGCAAAAGTCAGTTCCGTCAAAACTCCCCACCCTGAAAACACACACAAACACAAACACAAACACACACACACACACACACAGAGAATCAACCACTTTTAGCTTACGGCTCAGCAACTCCCAACAACGCCACTCTCTCGACCACACTGGCACCACCAAGTAGCTTATTGTATCAACAGCATGAAAGTTAAGCTGGTCAGGAGAGTTTACAAGTCCTCCATAATGCTCTAAGACACCATACGAACTTACAAACTTAATCTTCTTCGAAGCAAGTTCTCGCCACACGCAATCTCCAGACTCAAGACCATCTTCACCGCATTAAAATAAGGAAGCAAGGGAGGCAGGCAGGTCCCGAATCAGCTCCACAAGAAGGGAACATAAAAACACCACAAAACTCGCTTAATAACTCTCCCATGCAGACTAAACACGTGACGCGAAAGGTTGTGGGTCTCCCCCCCTACCCCTCCTTACCCCCTACCCCCCCCCAACACCTCTGTATTAATCTCCAAAAGCAAAAGAAGCTAACTCATCTTGTGATATATTTACGTTCTGAGTCACGACCTCACTTTCGGTGCCTCGTCGTTTCGAAATCGACAAAGGAAAAGGAGAATGTAGATCACTAATATTTTCTATCCATCAAAAAAACAAGTTCCATAATCACACAACTTAACACTAAATGTATAAAAGATGACACATAAGCTTACAGTCTCATACACCAAACAAAACTTAAAAGCCACGTTTCTACTGAGGCATAACTTTCATTTATAACTGAAAATAAAGATATCACATTAATTTTCCACTGTATCTTAATATACAAACATCACATTAATTTTCCACTCTGTATCTGAATACACAAACATCACACGAACTTTCATTCAAACTCAAAATACAAACACCACACAACTTTCACTCTAACTAAAAACACAAAACATATCGAAGTCTCTATCAACCACGCAACAAGTCCCCCCAACTTACCAAACACACATCCTTAATTAAAACCCCAAACACAAACAATAAAAGCCAACCACAACTCAGAAAAAGAGAAATACAATTAATATCCAACAATCACACAAACACAACCCAAAAAAATAAAACTAAAAATGACAAAATACCGAAACGAAGTCAAAAGTGAATCTTCGAGGCCACCAGGACACCGCCTTGAGGCAACACCGAGCGAGCGAGCGAGAGAGAGTAAGTCACAGACAGACACAGACACTCACTCACTTAACTCAAAATTAATCATCACTTTCTCTCACTATACGAGTAGAAAACACCCGTTTAAAAGTGATCTTGATGGTGTATTGATAATAAACTTTAGAGGGTTATAGGTCAATGCAGGGAAGCGAGAGGAGTGAAAGCATAAATAATGTCGAAGAAAGTGAAATCTCACTTAGTGGGGGGAAGGGGGGGGAGAAGTGAAACACAAATACATCGAAAATACAACAGAATAGAACTGACTTTCTCACACTCACACAAACACAAGAAAACACAAACAATTGCAAAATAACATGAAAAAAATCTAGTAAATCTACAAACCATACATCGACATATATAGTCCAACCAAACAAAAAACAGAGGGGAAAATAATACCAATAATAAGATGAAAAAAAAAAACTATATAAATAACTAGATTTAAAAATATATATATATAAAACCTCTACCTTAAAAAACCTTAAACTCTAAAACACAAAACTAGAGGCACTCCTTACGTCGGGATGTAGTTCCAGGAGACCCGGATCTTGTGCTATGCCAGGAGACATCACTGTGGGTTTCTGGAGGTGGATTCAATCTTCACACACACACCACCAACACTTTGTTTTAATAAAAGAGGCCACTAAATCTTCACACTTAATAAAGGAGAATTAAAACTTATCACAACACGTGTTTTTTTTTAAGTCGGTTCCTTCAGGTTGACGCGTTGGTGTCTCTCTCTCTCTTGTAAAATATACACTTTTAATTTGTAGAAAAATATTGAAGAAGCTTCGTGGACTGTATGTATATATTCTCTTCAGGCGTTTTTTTTAAGACCCAATCACACAAGACGTACCTTATAAGGGCCAGAATCTAACATTATTATTTCTTAATTTCCTTCTTTTTTTCCTTTCCTCTTAAAACACTGTACAAGGACTTGGTTATCTCTTCTTCTTCTTCTCTCTCCTTTAAATAATAAAAAAAAATTCTGACACGAAACGACCGTGCTATATATCTCTTCTGTATCTCTCTCAATCTCTCTCTCTCTCTCTCTCGTGCGTATATACAGCTCGGCGCCTGTTGTCCCACTGAGTGTTTGGTCCGAAGTCGCTCTTGACATATACACACAAACCACACGCCACGAAGCCCCGCCCCCTCGCGCTGATTGGCTGAGGGGCCGCAGGGCTACCAACCCGCACCCACGTGATGCCTCAGACTACCGGGATTCTCGCTGTTGATAGTGTCCTTTGGTGCGTCTCCTGGAGAACATGTGCGGTGGCGGGAATTGGAGGAGGGGGAGGGGGGGGGGGCTAGCCAAGATCAAAATAATAATAAATAATAATAATGTGGGTTTGGTATGCATGTGGGTGTAGCAATAGCGTTGTAGGATTATATTATGGTATGGGTATAGATTTTACATAAAGTTGGGTCTTCTAGTCAATCATGAGCGCATATATATATATATATATATATATATATATATATATATATATATATATATATATAATATATATATATATATATATAAACACACATGTATGCATTTATACATAAATATACACTCATTTATATGTACAAACACTCCCACACACACTTCCATGCATCTTGAAAATATGACCGACTGTTTACCTCAATCTCAGCCATCAACATATAAAAAAAAAAAAAAAAAAAGAGGGAACATGCACGCTATTCCCATATTACCTGGAAGAGGGAAGAGGGAAGGAGAGAGGGAGGGAAGGAGGGGTGGGGGGGAAGAGGTGGGAGGGGGGAGGGGGGGGTGCGTGTAGCTACTAATCTCCCCTCGTGTTACAAGCGCCATTCATACTGACATCACGTCTCCAGCACAACCCAGAGAAATTCCTGATCGGTTGGCAATCGATGTAAAAAAAAAAAATAAAATAAAAAAGCGAAACGAAACAAAAACAAAAACGTTCTTTGTGGATCTATTCTTGTCTTGGAGTAAATTGGTAAATAAAAAGAACTCGGTGACTTGGAGGGAGAGATTAGAAAGGGACAGTAAGAGGAGAGAGAGGGAGAGAGGGGGGGAGAGGGAGGGGGAGGGGGGGAGGGAGAGAGAGAGAGGGAGAGAGGGAGAGAGGGAGAGAGGGAGAGAGGGAGAGAGGGAGAGAGGGGAGAGAGAGAGAGAGAGAGAGAGAGAGAGAGAGAGAGAGAGAGAGAGAGAGAGAGAGAGAGAGAGAGAGAGGAGAGGGAGAGAGAGGGAGGGAGGAGGGGAGGGAGGGAGAGAAAGAGAAAGAAAGAAAGAAAGAGAGAGGTGGAAGGGTGTGATTTAGAGAAGGAGAAAGAGAGAGAGTTAAAATACATTCAAATACATTTTACGGAAGTGAGGGACGACCCAAACCTTTTCCTTTCACTTGTATATAAGCATTTCCCTCGCCTTGTTTCGTTCCTCATCATCAATCTTTATTTCTCCCCCTCTCCCACTCATTTATTCTCTTCTCCTTCCTTCTCCCTCTCTTTCTCTCCCCTTCCCTTTTCCTTCTTCCTTCCTTCCTCCACTCTCTCGCTGTCTCTTCCTCCCCCCCCCCTCTTCTGCCTCCCTCATGCTCTCCGTGAAATACTCTCCCTTTCTTGGGCCTACACTGAGTATTTTCTCCCTTCCCCCCTCTCTCTCTCTCCCTCCCTCTATTCCTCTTTCCTTCCTCTCTCTCTCTCTCTATTTCCCTCATCCTTTCATTCTCACTCTTTCCCTTCCCCTTGCCCTCCCCCTATCCCTCTCTCCCCCACCCCCTCCCCTCTCCTCTCCCCCCTCCCTACCTCCCTCCCACCCTCTGCCCCACAATCCTATCCCCCCTCTCCTTCACCCTATCCCTCTTTCCCCCCCTCCCTCTCTCCCTCTCCCTCCCCCCTCCCTCTCTCCCTCTCCCTCCCTCCCTCCCTCTCCCCCTTCCTTTCCTTTCCCTTCCCTTCTCTCCTCTCTCTATCTCTCCCTCCTCCATACACACACACACTATTCAACGCTGCTACAGGAGCTTATCCCAGCCCGGCTTCCTGGTTCGGCCGGGGAGAATTGTGTTACGTCACTTCCTGGTGTTTGTAGATGGTGTGGGGGGGGAGGGGGGGGGGCGAAGGTTAACCCTTTAATGGGAGGCTGAGGGGGGGAGGGGGGAGGGGGTTGATGGGGGTGGGTGATGGGGGGAGGGAAGGGAGGGAGGAGAGGAGAGAATAATAATGATAATAATGATGATAATAATGAGAGTAATAATAATAATAGTAATAATAATATAATAATAATAATAATAATAATAATAATAATAATGATGATGATGATGATTATACAATAACAATAACAATAATAACAATAACAATAACAATAATAATAATAATAATAACAATAATAATAATAATAATAATAATAATAATAATAATGATAACAATAATAACAATAACAATAATGATAATAATAATAATAATAATAATAACAATAGCAATAACAATAGCAATAACAATAACAATAACAATAATAATAATAATAAATATAATAATAATAACAATAATAATAATACCCAGGACAGCAACAGGTGAGGGGGGGGGGGGGGCGAGCAGACAGCCTCATGTCACTGACGTCAACAGCCACGTGATAAGACTTCAGTGACCCAAAGGACTTCATCGCAAGCAGCCTCGCCCTAGCCTAGCCTATCCCTCGTGCCATCCTCCCCCTCCCCCCCCCTCCCCCTCCCCCCTCGACTATTTCCTTTATGCTTCTATCTAAACTATCCTCTGGTCTTTTGGTTTCGTTTTTTTTTCTGTTTTTATTCTGCTTGTTGTTCGTTTTCTTTCTTTCTCTCTTTCTTTCTCTTTCTCTTTTCTCTCTCTTTTTTTTTCTTTAAAATTTTCATTTGTATTTGTATTCCTTTATTTCTTTACATTCTTTTTCTTCTTACTATCTCTCTCTTCTTCTCATCCTTTCTTCTTCATACTATATCTTTCACTTTTTTCGTTCATTCCTCCTTCCCTTCCTCCCTTCCCTCCTTCCCTCCCTCTCCCTCTCTCTCTCTCTCTCTCTCTCTCTCTCTCTCTCTCTCTCTCTCTCTCTCTCTCTCTCTCTCTCTCTCTCTCTCTCTCTCTCTCTCTCCTCCTTCGTTTCGTCCCTTGAATCCCTCTATATACATCCTTCCCTTTCTCTGTTCTTCCTTCCTTCCTTCCTTCAGATATTCTTCCTCAATCTTCCCTTTACGATTTTTTTTCTTCTCCGTCCCTCCTATCCCTCCCGTCCTTAGCTTTTTTCCTCTTTTTCTTTTCTTTTCTAGTTCCTTTTTCATATCTTCCTTCCTTCCTCTCTTAATCCTTCTTTCATATCCTCCTCCTCCTATTCCTCCTACATCTTCCTTCCCTATTTCCCTCCATTCCTCCTACATCTTCCTTCCTTCCTTCCTACCCTCCACCCCTTTCTTCCCTCCCTCCTTCCCTCCATTCTTCCACCTCTTCCTCCCCTCCTCCCCTCCAGCTCTTCCCTCCCTCCCTCCTACCCTATACATCTTCCTTACTTCCTTCCCTCCTTTCTACCCTCCATTCCTCTACACCTTCCTTCCCTCCATCTTCCCTCCATTCTTCTACTTCTTCCTCTCCTCTTTCCCTCCACCTCTTCCTCCCCTCCTTCCCTCCTCCTCTTCCCTCCCTCCCTCCCTCCCTCCACCTCTTCCTCCCTCCCTCCTTTCTACCCTCCATTCCTCCACCTCTTCGTCCCCTCCCTCCCTCCCTCCACCTCTTCCCTCCCTCTCACCCTCCACCTCTTCCTCCCCTCCACCTCTTCCTCCCCTCCTACCCTCCACCTCTTCCTCCCCTCCACCTCTTCCCTCCCTCCCTCCTTTCTACCCTCCATTCCTCCACCTCTTCCTCCCCTCCCTCCCTCCACTTCTTCCCTCCCTCCCTCCCTCGCCACGCAAACACACTTCTCCCAGTGACCGCGTACGGATTGTAAACAACACATTCAAAGGTTAAGCTACAGAGACTGGTCAGATGCACGTTGTCTCGAAGGTCGAAATTGTAAACTATTTCTCTAACTAATAAAAAGAATGACAAAATAGATGTAAAAAATTGTAAAAATAAAATCGTCATGTTCATAAACCATACACATTGAATAGGACTCACACGCGCAGACAGGCAGACAAGCGAAAACAGAAACAAGTGTACATAATAACATGAAAGAAAGCACACACGCACACGCACACACACACACACGTTTTATTGTACAGTGAAAGAAGTATACATATATATATGTTAATACAATAATGCCAAAAGCACGCGAAGAATATACGTAGTCAGGTTATATACTGGGCATAAACATTGTTTATAAACAAATGCCTTAAGATTGGAGCTCGAGTGTCAGGTCAAAGGTTTATTTGTTTATAAACAGTACCCGGGTTTAACATGTGACCTTCTATGGAGGGTAAATGCATCCTTGTGTGTGTGTGTGTGTGTGTGTGTGTGTGTGTGTGTGTGTGTGTGTGTGTGTGTGTGTGTGTGTGTGTGTGTGTGTGTGTGTGTGTGAGTGTGTGTGAGTGTGAGTGAGTGAGTGAGGGAGAGGGAGGGTAGGAGGTGGGGGGAGGGAGAGGGAGGGAGAGAGGGAGAGGGAGAGAGGGAGAGAGGGAGAGAGGGAGAGGGAGAGGAGAGGGAGAGAGAGAGAGAGAGAGAGAGAGAGAGAGAGAGAGAGAGAGAGAGAGAGAGAGAGAGAGAGAGAGAGAGAGAGAGAGAGAGAGAGAGAGAGAGAGAGAGAGAGAGAGACTACGATTAAGCGACTTAAGCGTGAGAGTAGGTGTGAGAGTGAGAGTGAAAATGAAAGTGAGTGAATGAATCGATTTGAGTCTGTGTGCGTGCGTGCGTGCGTGCGTGTGTGTGTGTGTGTGTGTGTGTGTGTGTGTGTGTGTGTGTGTGTGTGTGTGTGTGTGTGTGTGTGTGTGCGCGAGAGAGACTACACAGGTGCCCAGTGACAGGATACGTCACTATAAATCCACGGTTCACTGCAAGGCTAAATCACTGTAGTGAACCATACATGACCCGTGGGTTCGATTGAAGATCTCTAGTGAAAACTCGATTAAAAATAGATTTGCTATTTTATATTCACTTCAGAAACCAA